AAATGTGAAAGGTAAAGATCTGAGATAAGTCCTTCTTTTTCTCTTACTATTTTGATAGAGGAGACTGCCCACACTGAACACCAACCCAATCTCGATAAGAATCAGTACGCTACACTCGATCAATCCACGAAGGTGTGGCACTTCTCCACCCTCTGCTAGCAGCTTTCTTCTCTTATGATTTTTTCTTAAGTAGAGGTTCTTTACCGGTGACCCAGTTGATTCGGCCCCCACTATCCTTAAGGAACTAACCCAGGCAACTGAACTCATTTAGGTTAGAGGCTGCTTAGTAAGAGCTAAGTACAGATCTGCTACCAGCTCCCTGGGTAGCCATCCGTCTAATGAGCTAACTTCTTGACCTTGCTCTAGGCCCTCTGGGTCTTTATTTCCTTCTTCTTGTTGCTCCTCGTCATTTGATTTGCATGGTTACCTGCTGCTTGTGGCGCTGCTGATGAAGCCACATCCGGAAAGTTTTAATCGGCAGAGGCACGGACGTATAACTAGTATTAAAACCTTGTAATAGAATATGCTTGTTCGCCCCAAGCTCATCCGAGAGAACAGGAAATAACATCTCTGTACGATAAGTTTGATGGAATATTTGTAAGTTTATAAGCACGCTGCAGTAGATATAGGAACTAGGAAGTATATTAAAATGCTGTTGTCCCAACATCAATTAACTTATTTTGTCTAATCATCTAGTATTCTGGAATTGTCTGGTCCTATTAATTCGGATTCGTATAGTATCCGGTCTATTAAACGAGAAGCGTTCCCTACTAGGACAACTGGCTAGTCCAACTAATTCAGATTCGTGTGGCATACGGTCAATTAAACGAGAAGCGTCGGAGACAAAGTTATCTCCTATCAAGGCACACCAAAACCGTGCCAATCAAATTTCTTTCCCTATTTTTCAAAGAGAATCAAATGAAAATAATTGTGTAGTCTCTACCTTGAATGATTTCAGGCTGTTGAAGAACTAAGCCATCAATGGGAAAACCAATTGTTTCCTATGTTTAACTTGTCTAAAGCTGAAAAACGTGTTTTTTAATTGGAAATATCAAGAGTAAAGCAACAGGTAACCAAATAGATAAATCTTGAATCTCACAAGGGCTATTTAGACCATAGCAACGAGGTTTGCAATTTATGTAATCTAATGAAATTGAAGTTTAATTGTGTAGAAATGAAAGAGTATCAATTTACGTCTCTATTACTCTCAAAATAAAATTCGAAAGGAAAAAGTTCCCAATATATTCGTAACATTTGCGATTATTCTTATATATGCCCTCCGTTTACTTTTCCGCTCATCAAAACCTCCTATAGTCCTATTAACGATTTTCACCATAAAAAATTATTAATTAGTCTGATAAGGTGAAACAACAACAACAACAACCCAGTAAAATTTCACTAGTGGGGTGTGGGAGGGTAGTGTGTACGCAGTAGAAAGGCTATTTCCGAAAGACCCTCGCCTCAAGAGGACAAAAACACAAAAAGAGACAATATCAGTATCACCACATAAATCATAGGAAAAATAGGAACAACATGAAATCCAGAAGAAAGATATAAAGTAAAAGCGATAGCTAGTAAATCAGTTCGGCACTGAAAAACTAAATAGTAAGACACGACATTGCCACTAGCTAACTTAGACAAAAACTCTACCAGACTAGTCTCACAACGGTTCGAAGTAAAGCAAAAACTCAACTACCTCCTAACCTACGACCTCCTCTGATAAGGTGAAAGCGCAGTATATTTGGACCTTTTTCAATTGCTTAAAGAGTATTTCAAATTATTGGAGGGTAATATATAAACTAATTTAATAGCTTAGGACTAAGTTTAGCCTTTTGTTTGTCTACGTGGCTCTATCGTGGCAAATATCAAACTTTAGGGGTTAATTTGAACTTTTGCAAATTTGAAATGATATTGGAAAAGATTAAACGAAGAGGCTTCTTTTTGCTAAGCCCTCATATCCATTTTCCGTTTTCTACTCTCTTTTTTTTTTTTCTCTCAAAAATGGCGTCTTTATTACCAAGCTTGTCATCCCCAATTTCCCGTCTAAGCTTTCTACTATATCGACCCTCACTTCATCTTACAATCAAAGCTACAAATAAATTACAATTTCACAACAAATCAGTTAAAAAAAACCAGTCGTTCAAATTTTTTCCAGCTCATTGTTTTTCTAATTCAGCTGCTAATTTACAAATGGTCCAAACCCAGAAACAAAAACTGGGAGAAAATGAGAATTTAGTTGTTTTGGGCATTGAAACTAGCTGTGATGATACTGCTGCCGCTGTGGTAAGTTCTTGAACATCTCTTGGTAGTTTCTTGGGAATTCTTTTTGTGGGGTTTGGCAAACTAGCACTTTTGATTAATTTATATGTGCACTTTTGATCCTTCCAACTGTGAATCTTCAAAAATTTAACGAATTAGTAAGTGTTAGACCATTCAATTATCAATGTTTTATATGTCAACTTTGTACTTTTACTCCATATTTAAGGGTAATATAATTCTAAAAATAGTCGAAATACCACATATTTCCCATATAAACGGACCAAAAGACACATCTATTAGTTAATTGAAGGTCAAATGTGCATAGCCAAATGTTACAGGGATCAAAAGCTAGAATTTACAAATAATTGAGGGACCAAAAGTGCAATTATCCCCCCTTTTTGGAGGGGGGTGGTGAAGCAGCTGTAAAGTCTTGTTTTATAAGCTTTTTATCTCTTATTGTAGGTAAATAGCAATGGTGAAATTCTCAGCCAAGTTATCTCTTCTCAGGTACTCTCTTTGTATTTGACTATTTGTATAGTTACAGAAAGTCTGGAGAATTACCATTTGGTTTATACTGTATCATCATCATGTTTTGTTACATTAATGGCTGTTCCATTATAATTTATTTGACACTTCATGTGTTGTTTGTATTACATTGTTTTAGTTGTGGTTTATTTATGTATATAATCATTTATTTTTGCATCATTATGTAAATAGTTGGACATTAGGGTCTGTCTAGAATTAAACAGGTCATGTTCCACATTGACTGCCGGCATGCAGCGTTTCTATTCGCTTTCCTATTTATACATATAAAGGGCTCAAATAGTTCTCTATAAAGTATCTAGTGCTTTTGTTGAAGTGTGGGAAGCTCTTGCAACATAGTATACATAAAAGGCAAATCAATAGCAAAGAAGTAGTATATCAAAGATTAGGATGTTTAAGCATCCTTCCCTATGGAAATGTGGAGAAGACTTTCTATCTAATTGAATTAAGGGGGTGGAAGACCAAAGAAAGGAAAAAAAAGATTTGCCAATGTGTTTTGGTTAATAATACGTCTGAAAAGCCAAAAATTCGGCCAATGTGCCAAATGTCAATGTTATTTGGGGTGATGCATTCCTATGCATTGCAGAGTAGTCAAGATAATATCTGGAGTGACACCAAGTAGCTTCCTTTATATTCTTATACTGTATAATTTTATATACGTTCACACCACTGTTCTGTCTTCATGTCAATTGCTCAGGGAATTGCTCAGTGCTCTAAAGAATTTTAACTACGAGAAGTTATCCAAATTATATTTACTTGCCACATTACACAATCTTTTTTTCTAATCTTGAGGTTCTGTATTTCATCAAGGCAGAACTGCTTGCTCGATATGGAGGAGTTGCTCCTAAGATGGCAGAGGAAGCACATGCACTGGTGATTGATCAGGTACATCCTGTCAACCCTGAAGTACTTTGTTTCAAGAACTTGTAAACGGTTGGTTAGAACGAATCAATTGATTGATGGTCTATATCTTTTAGGCTATAGTTAATGGATACTCTTAAATTATAATTATGATTATATAGACTATGATTCTATGCTAGAAAATTTTTCAAATTCCATTTCGGTTTTGGAGTTTGAGGCATGCCAATGATTGTCGTGTTAGGAGCACGGTGGATGTTGTTTTGAAGGACTCACCCCCAAATTCCCTTCTTTGTACAATTCCGGCTTATATTATTTACCACAGCTCTCGCACTTCTAAGTTTGATAGCTTCTTAATCTGATTTGGCACATCATATTTCTGGTCACATCATATTTCCTGCAAACAATGTGATCGTAATCCTTCAGGTGTACAGAAGCGCTAGATAAAGCTAATCTGACTGAAAAGGATCTAACTGCAGTTGCTGTCACCATTGGTCCTGGGTTTTAAAGCCCGTTTTGTC